CACAATGATGATTTTGCAAAGTGGTCGAGAGTGTGAGCGTGTATGTGAAAATCGAACCGACACGCATATCCCGTCGAAAAGTCCGATAACTAGTTTGTGCTGTTGAAATCCGTCAGGTGGATGGTTAGGCAGAATTAAAACACATACGCACATCTATCAGAGAGGAACAGCTCAGCAGGATTAAGCATGACAAAAAAATCAGATGAAAAAAAAACGATTAAGTGAATCTGCTTGCACACACCCACCAGCCCACCCACACTAATCACATTTGCTTATTACTTCTAATTAGATGTGTATTGTCAAAGACAACAATTGACAGAGAGAGTGCATGAATTTGACTAATATTCTTTATTCCACACTCATTGTAAATACATAGCTAAAACGTTTAGAGCAGCAAGCTTGGATTAGTCCATTTGATTGTTAAGTGGCACCAGGTACTTTTGATGTTCTTGGGTGTGGGTTTCACTCCTTGAGAGATCGTTCATTCCCCAAAATTTCATGCATCTACATGCAATGGAAATGTTTGTGATAATCGACAAAGAGCACTGGGCAGCTGTTTCGTCCTGGTTTGGTCTCGTCAACAGTGCGTACTTTTTGTGTCCCTGTCAGGACTCGAACCGTGAACGTTCGGGTTGGAACTTCAAACCCTTAACCCTGAGCTACATGGTCGGCGGTCATCAACTTGTGCGAATGGCTCAATCAATTTTAGATTAGCAAGCTTGGATATTCGCACACACGCCTGGACGTAGACAGGTACAACCTAATAACAATATGGTAGGGAGTGACCTCCCCGTACCCCTCAACATTCTCCTGTGATGACTGATCTCTATTCCTTACATAGAGAAGTGCTCCGTGTATCGCAAACAAATGCAACCTGATCTTCACATGTTACGACAAACTCCAGCAGATATTGTGATGTTTTTGGAAAGAGATAAATTATCAGGCGAAAACTCGCGACATCCACATCTGTCTGTTTGAATATATGTAAGACGCGCAAAGCGCACTTGATAGACCAACAAGTGCAGTTGCCACATACGCTATGTGCTTTGCATCTTCAAAATGCAAAGCGATGCCGCAGGACTGGGCTTCGTCTACTCCCCCTCTGAAACTGAATGGTCAGGAATTAGTTATGATGGACTATTTTTCCTATTTAGGTAGTTGGATGACTAATGGCGGTAGGGCAACAACAGCGATAACCGTCCGCATTTCCAAGGCGCGAGTAGCATACGCAGGACCAAAACACCTTCGGTCTAGACGTGATATTCTACTGCAGTTGAAAGGTTGTGTATATAGTGCCACCGTTCGTTCAGTGCTGCTTGAATTGTATTATGTATAACTTTTGCAAGCACTGGAACTCACATTTCAGTTATGGTTCTGAGACCTTGAATTTGCGAGTAGAAGATATCCATCGACTAGAAGTTTTCCATTATCGATGTTTACGTTGTTTAGCCCACTTGGGATGGAGCCAGTGGGTTAGTGATCTGAAAGTAAGTGGTCGTGTGTTTGGAAGTCTGTCAGGCATAAACCTCCTAGCACATCGAATTCAGATTAGTAGGCTTCGCTGGCTAAGGTACGTATCGCATAGACCCAGCTACTGTCTACCACACCGCGCCTTATTCGCTATAACCGATCCGGGCTGGAGGACACCACGTGGATGCCAACAGATGACGCGGAAACGAGGCATGAAGAAATGCACAGNNNTTGAAGGATATGGCAGCGAACTGACAGCAGTGGCGTTTTTGTTGTCATTTCTCATCAGGCCAGAATGCTTGAAACGGTACGTATGCAGAGTTCGATTGTGCACTCTGCGTGTTGACCATAGTGACTCATCTTCTTCTCCCTCCCTCAAAATAGATCCAATCCCTGTCCAACTTAAATTTTACCACTAACCTTATGGACATTGGGAGTTTGACAGCGATCAGTGAAGTTCGCCCCACTGTATATTTCGCTGTACGATGATGATGATGATGACAATGATATTCACCGACATCGCTTAAATGATGA